CCCCCCTTTTGCGTTATTATAATATGACACTGTCGGAGACACCCACCTGTCGAAGACAATTGTGAGGCAGCGTGGTGGAAACAGGCTCTCGTCAAAATAATACAAGTGAAGAAACTTGCACTTTTCCGCAGGTTTGTGAATTTTAATACAATTTTTGTTTTTTGGCTCAACACCTTTCATGCCCATTAAAGAACTCATTTCTGTGTGGATTTTTCCGAAAAACGTTGAGTAAAGGCGCTAAAAAGAAGTAAATGTTCAGCTACCACGGACTCTTAAGCTAAGGAAATAACTTATCTTTGGTGGCCATTTTCTCACTAATTTTACCTCTGAAAACAACTGACCCCCACCTCCTTCTTTTGCAAATAACTGGACTTGTATTCCAGGTAAAGAGATACTTTTTTCATCCAAATAAAGACAAATGAACAAGTTTTAAGATGATACCAATAACTCTACATGCTCAAAAATTGACGAGAGCCTGATTACCCAACGCTGCCTTACAATTACTTTTCTCATCGACAATGGAGGCCGTCTTTGACAATTTCGAACGCGAAATGTTGTTTTTTGTTAAGTTTTTCGCCGCTGCAAGCAGAAGGCGTGTGCTCAGTTCCTACGAGAGAAAGCTTTTACGGAGTGAATCCATTTGCCTGCCGAGGTGTTGTATCTCATTCAGTCTGGTTTAGCGCTCAAAGGCAGAATTGAAGCGGCCCACATTGTAATAATATACATCGTGTGCAAGGGAAGCACTAACATTTGCAATCAATCAATCAATCAATCAATCAATCAATCAATCAATCTATCTATCTATCTATCTATCTATCTATCTATCTATCTGTCTATCTATCTATCCATCAATCAATCAATCAATCAATCAATCAATCGAGTTGTACGGTGATATGTTCAGTTTCTATTGTATTGCTAACCTTAGCCCTAGGAAGTAAAACGTATAACAATTCTGTTAAAAACAAAGATAATTATTGTATTGTCAAAGTTTACGCCTACTTATCTAATAGGCTTCCACTTTTCATCGGTGATGATGATGATGATGATGATGATGATGATGATGATGATGATGATGATGATGATGATGATGATGATGATGATGATGATGATGATGATGATGATGACAAAGCCATACGGCGAAACGTTAAACGTATTAATATATTTTGGGAATCCTAACATGTCTCAACCTTTTTAATTCTTCGTTTACAATGATGATGATGATGATAATGATGATGATGGTTTAAATGATTCTGAAGAAGTGCTCAACTTTTCTATTCATTATGATGATGATGATGATGATGATGATGATGATGTTGATGATGATGATGGTGATGATGATGATGATGATGATGATGATGATGATGATGATGATGACTTGTATTAGGCTGCAGTTATCCTGATCTGAAGCTGACGCACAATGGCCTTTATCGACTGCTTATGAAATAAATTTTAAAGCAAACACGGAAGAAACATTTTAATAATCTGTTTGCAAGCTGTAGGATAATAAATAATTCACAAGCACAGAAATCTTATTTTTTCCCACTTCAAAGAAACAGGCGTTTTGTTAATAAATTTCTAGCTATCCTTTCTACAAATCCTCGACTTGGGTTGTTAAGAGAGTTTCAACGGCTCTCTTTACCAGAATGTTTGAGATGTACAGGGTGATTGTACGAGATTTAACCGTTTTCATTACGTAATATTTCGAAAAATAAAAGCAACAGAAAACTCAAGCTAAGTATTTTACTCGCATTCAACTTTTATTTCCTGTCTTACAAGTGTTCAATGTGGCTACCACCAGCTTGTCGAGCAACATCAATGCCGTAAAAGAATTTCTCCCAGACGTGTTTCAGCAATCTCGGTCCAAGGTGTTGATCGCTGCTGTTGTTCAATGTTTAAGGTCTTCGGGTAAGTGGGTAGCGGTGATACAAAAACGCGATCTTTTACATATCCCCTCAAGAAAACTTCAAACACGGTGAGGTCTGGGGATTTGGCAGGCTAAGCACATAGAGAAAGGTCTTGGGCCTCTTTCCAACCAAATCATCCCAGGGGCACTTTTTGCTTTAAAACAGTTTTAACCATCAGATGACAGATGCCAATGGGGCGGTGCTGGCCTGCTCCTCCTCCCCTCCCCTGTACCAAGTGACCGTTATCCTATCGCTGTGTGCTTCTCATTATCTCAAAATAAACAGCTGTTTTGCGGGAGTCCGGTATGACCTGGTGTCGGCCTATGCTGACGTCATCCAGGACACCAGGTCCACTTTGAAGTGTCCACTGAGCGGGTGCCGGGAGGGGACGCTGTGTCTTCCTTTCATCAATGGCGACTTCCGGTTTACGGAGATCCGCAAGACAGACAAAGTCCAAGAAAAACCGAAAAACGGTAATGAAAATACAACATGTAGTTAGAATGGGACAAATGTCGAATTTAGTGCTGTTTAATACGCCCTACAAGGTATCGTGAAACAGTCAGGCCTGTGCTAGCCGCCTGATCTGGGGTGGCTGGCGTTTTGCTACTCGAACGAATTCAGTCGATTAGCCTAACGCTACTGGCCCGTGGTGATTTCTGCTACCTCGAGTGGCTAGCATTTTTCTGCCCACCCGGAGCCGGTCACCTAGATCTAGTACTAGATAGCGTAAGCAAGGCCTTGCAGACTTCCGAGCGACATGAAGCAAAAGAGAGCACACTCTGTGTGCGAGTAATTCTGTCTGCGGGGAGAGAGAGAGAGAGAGAGAGAGAGAGAGAGAGAGAGAGAGAGAGAGAGAG